ATGTGGTTTATCCGCTCATCATGAATACTTACATGATGTCTACAGTACTGTCGAGTGCCAGGACAAACTGCATGTGTATGTTCACATGCACTGTTACACACTAGATTCATTATAGGCATTAGTCTGTAATAATTTGCATTAGGCAACTAGGACTTGTATTAATGTGCTTAGCTCCAACTTCACGTGTATATACTACTAAAGTGTAGATTTATACACCCAGCATGTTCATGTCAAAATACTCTACATGAGCTCGGTTGTCTACATTATATGATAAGCATAACATATCTGTTTTATTGATAATTGTGTTAAACCAACTTCCAGTTATACTTGATTTTCACTGATACCATAGTATTCCGTATGTATACGGTTTACAATATGATACTTTGGAACTGTGATTTCTATCTATTAGATATTTCATGTTGATTTTTTTATATTGAGGATTCAGGAGATTTACTTGATTTCTTGAAATAACTGTTTCCAAATTAATGCTTGGTTTTTCATACTTATATTACTATTATACGAGTTTTTGCAACGGGAAGTTAGTATGTTTGAAAAATTTAAATAATTTTTAGAAATTTTTATTTTGCCTACTCACATTTTTGGGTTACACCCCTTTTAGTAAGTGTTGGAGTTTTTGACGTCAAGGCGTGGTCGCATAATCTTCCTTTATTAGTGGAGGGACTATTCTTACTTTGTAAGTAACAACTTCGGATGTTTTACGTGGTATACTTCTGATGTAGATATTTAGATGCTCTAGATTCCATTACATACATAATATATTAATTTATGGTTCATCACACTCACTGCATACTCTACTCTTTTATTTTAGAGGTATTCATCAATTCCTCCCCTAAACTTGTGACCATTGGCCAATTTCCCCCCTCAACTTTAATTTTGACCAATTTCCCCCCTCAACTCTCATAATTAGTCAATTTGCACCCTACTGTTAATTTTTTTTAATTTTCCATCTATTCTTTTTTTTTCTTTCAATCTTTCTAATAACTTCCAACAAAGTACTAAAATTAACATAAACTCACCTACATAATATAGGGTAAAATGTACAAAAACATAATACAATTAGTATGTGATATGGGTTGATTATAAGAAAAAGTTATGAATCGGGTTTAAAGCATGTAGAAGAAGAAATAATAATCCTAAACTCATGGATCAGACATATTTCAATAAAATTGGTTATTCTTAATAAGGAGTCGAAAATTATGAATTGACTAGCCATTTTTGCACTAAAGCTCGATTCTCCGCAATTTACTTGAACTTAACTTTCACTTTTATAAAGAAAATTGTATTCACATACAAAAATGTACACATCAATCCTTTTCGTTATCAAATTTTTATAGTAAAAAATCAAATAAAATTACTCCATACTGATTTATTATGACTAATAATACTATCTATGATAAATTGTAAAATTCTAAATTTTAATCTATTTGTAATAGGATAAAGACATAGGAAAATGATTAACATACACCCTATTTAGTTTCTTACACACACTTGTTTAATTATGATCAAATTAAAAAATTAACAGTAGGGTGCAAATTAACTAATTATAAGAGTTGAGGGGGGAAATTGGCCAAATTAAAGTTGAGGGGGGAAATTAACTAATTATGAGAGTTGAGGGGGGAAATTGGCCAAAATTAAAGTTGAGAGGGGGAAATTGGCCAATAGTCACAAGTTCAGGGGGGGAATTGATGAATACCTCTTTATTTTATTTTTATACTTAGCTTTAATTTATTCGTATTTTTCATCATTTTCACTTTATGACTTTGTCCCTTTCGGATGTTTGCCAACATGCCTCGATTGTAGTGTCCACTTGGATATCCAAATCTGAGTGTGTCACTAACACGAGTGCTATGACTTGAACCAACCAAGTTTAGCCATGACTTTGTATAAATCAGACGGTGAAAGGACAAAAAGAACAATTAAAAAGACATAAAATTAGCATCAAAGTCAAAACATTACAAATTTGAGCTCCGGTTTTCAATTTGGACCCTTTGACACACCGTTTCAAAGAGAAGGACAATGCAAACAAGATGCAACGCTCCCTTAGCAGAAAATATTTGAATTCCATTGTTTACTAGCGCAAAACGAAATTTTAAGACTGAGTATTTTTGGAAATTTCTATTTCTTTAATTCGTATTCTATTTGTAATCCTAAAATGTTTAGAGCTAAAGGACACTAAATAAGCAAGATTGTCCCTATATCTATCACTATAAACCCAACAGCTTATCCAAAATAAGGATAATTTTTTTTCTCAAACTCATCTCTTTGTTTCCGTTTAATGTTCGGTTCTTCTCACCATCTCTGTTTTGTCAAATTTTCTCCATTTTTCTTTAATTGTTTGATAACCATAATATGAGAAAAATGAACGATTACGATCCGGTTACTTTACCTCTCAGAATTATGATGGCATATATGGCAAATACAACTTTTCCCTTCAAATTCAATTTAACCCTAAACCCTATATCTGAAGAATCTTTTTTTTTTATTGAACTTGTCACACAATTAGTTGTAAAACAATGAAATAAAAGGTTAGCTTTGGTGCTTTTCCATAATATGCCTTGGATCAACTTAGCAAAGGAGCATGTGGTACAATATTCTAGTAGATAGGGTGTTAAAGTTTCTATCATTCAAAAATCGCCCTTCTCATGAATTATTGTAATAATTTTGAACAATCCCCCTAATAATAATAATAAAATTTTTAAAAAAACAACTTCAGCAAGGGCCAGTGAAATTCCTCCAGTAAGAACCATTACTTAACTCATGAATTTCTCATAAAAGAGAGCGCAAACAAAAGCCATAATTCTCTTAAGTATGAACCCATGGCCCATGAAAGAGCCTAAATAAAAAGCCTACATTCTCTAAGTGCTTCCCAAACCCCTTTTCAAACAAATGTGCTTCCCAAACCCCTTTTCAAACAAACGAAATTATAGGGTCCAAATTTTGGAAGACAGAAAAAAAAAAAAAAAAAAAAAAAAAAATCAAATCAGGGTACTGATTTGGGCTTTTTGAGGGACCTTATATATTTATTTTTGTTTTAACAAATTTACAAGTATTTAATCAGATTTTTAAATAATTTTTTATAGTGCATTCATTTAAGATTTAAGAGCCCGTAAAATTCTATTGATTTCATATCCTTTGTTTACTAACACTTTAGAGACACCTGAAAATTCAAAATCTCTTTAGGAGAAGATGTTTATCTCATACTCATTCATTCTCAATCTCAATCTTTCATATTTACATTCCTTACCAAACAAGTAAACATGCAAAGAGTTTATAAAAGTTTAATTGTATTCGTTAAGAATTAATTAGAAAAATCAAGCAGCTATCGTTCTTATGCTTCCACGTGGCAAATATCTAGGGCTGAGATGATGTCAGTTGGTTCTTATTAAGAAGACTTAAATCTAATTGCCAGCTTCGTTTTTCTCATTTCTGCGAGTGCTAATTACATTATATGACACATGAAACCTTATTACCAGGTTGGACTCACTAGTCGGACTTTGGCCGACTTGCTCACAATTATCTCTACCTTCAAAGTCTTACCAAGGCTTTGGCTGTCAAATGGCAATATAAATATTTATAACACTGTAGATACCATATGGCTGCAGCCTGGTCGGCCAAAACCCTAATTATGGAGAAATTTTTAGTTGTGATGGGAATACAAGTGGTACACCACATGTTTTAATAGGAGTGGTGGAAAATTTTATTTTTTAAGTTATTAACTTTTTAACACACATATCTCACCATTTGTATAGTGACACGTGGTGTATCACCCCTTGTATCGGTCACACTGAAAAATCTCTCCTAGGACCTCACAATTAGTAAACAATTGTTGGAATGGAAAAGTTCGAATCAATCAAACATTAAGGTGGTGATGTTTTTAGACAAGTTTGTCATCATGAATGACAATTCTCTTAATTAATACTATTAGGTCATACAATTAGTCTTAATCCATTGATAATTCATGCATGCATGTATTCTTACAGTTTTATTTTAGAATTCAAATTTGGCACCAGTAATATTAAAAAAAAGGTATGTATAAGTAGAATTCAAATTTTAATATTAAGAAAAGACGTATTTTGGCATGCGTGCATGATAAATTTAAGATATTTCTCAATAATATTTATAGATATAATTTTCATGAAAATTTAGGCGCGCACGAAAAGTGGTAGTTAAAATCTCATGTCACAATAAGAATAAATCCTTTGTTCTCTTTATAATCTCATAGAGAAAGATCTTATGTAATTTGAATTATCAAGTATCAACTATTAAACAATCCCCCACCCCCTTCCCCTCCAAAACAAACAATGGAACTTATTTTTAGTAATACTTCTTGCCATGATCGATATAACAAGAAAAACAAAGAACCAGACTGAAGTCATCATATCAAGCTTATTTAAAATCATCTTATTTATCATTTTGTGGGGATTGTCCAAGAGTTGTTATCACTTCATCCAAAATAGAAAGAAAAGAAAAGTGAAGAAAGAAAAAGTGACTAGTGTTTTTTATATGTGTTCTAGCTAGATTCTACATATAGTGTAATGTAAGGCATATGTGCTTAAATTAGTTCCACTATGAAAAAGGCAAAACAAGTTGGAAATAAATATAAAAGAAAAGACACAAATTAATTTTGTTGGTTTCTTTACAGGTATCCAAACATATAATGATAACCAAAATACTTGTTTTTCAGAAGTGTGTGTATATATGTAATTAGAGAGTAATAAGTCTAGTTTAACATGACTAAGTTTTGTAATTTGTTTGTCCTTGGTACAATTTAAATTGTATAACATGCTATGACTATGAAAGAAATTAAATAATTTCCAAGTAATTAATATCTAGAATGCAGGCCTTCCTTCCCTCCCCAAATAAATATTATTCTTCGCCACCAACAAGTTGTCCCATCTCTCCCTCTCTCTCTCCCCCTTTCTCTATCTCTCTCTCTCTCTCCCTCTCTCTCTCTCTCGGTTAATTGTTTGGTTTTGGCAATGGATTCTAGTCAGGCAAATCAAGAAAATTCAGACCAGGTGATGACATCGGATGATCAACAACAACAAGGAGCAAGCAAACAAGCAGCAAAGTCGTATGAGTGCAATTTTTGTAAAAGAGGGTTTACTAATGCACAAGCTTTAGGAGGGCACATGAACATTCACCGAAAAGACAAGGCCAAGCTCAAGCAAGTCTCCTCATCTAATACTATCGAAACTAAACACCACCAACAACAACAACAAAAACAAAACGTTTTGGACTTCCCAAAGATGCCATCCTTGGACTCTCCAATACTCCCTACCATCAATTCTTTGCAACACAATAAGCCTATTGGTCGTGATATTGATAGAAACACAATAAGGGCACCATGGCCTTGGTTGATCAGTGAAAAAAGTGACACCACTATGCAACAACTCGCACTGTTTTCTCAGACACCATCACATAACAAAGATCATCAAAATCCAGGTACACCACAAGTTCACGGGGATCAACTTGAAAACAGTTTGCAGTTATCTGGTTCGGAGTTAGACCTTGAGCTTAGACTAGGACCTGAGCCTCAAAATTCATCGTCATCAACGGCAAATACTACAAGAAAGTTCTTCTGATGAATCTGAAATTACTCTATTTCAATCCGGGTATCTTAATTTCTTTCATGTTTATACATTTTAATTTATTTATTCATTATGTTGTTGATTCATAATTTATTGGTATTGTGTATCGAATTTTCATTTGAGTTCGTACATAATTAACCTTGTGTTGTTGGGAAGGGTTCAATTTGATTGTTCAAATCTTCAAAATTAATAAAGAAACTGAAGATTTTCCAGATTTTATATATTTATGAGTTTCAAGGCGCGTGCACCTTGACCGAATTATATACCTTATTTAGCCTTAATGATCGGTCGAGGAACTGAAAGTAGTAATTGAAGCGAATAAAACTCCCTTTTAGTGATTGATAGACCGTGTTTATAAATACATTGAATCAGTATGCAAGGAAATATGAAAGCTATATATACGCATGCCTTTGTTGTGTAGAAATTAGGGTTTACAAATGTCTGATGTTGCTGAAGACATTTGACAGAACCCTAGCCAGATGCATGTAGCCAAGGCTTATGCGCGCTGTATGCTTGCCCGCATCTCAAAAAATCATGACTTGCCAATTCTTGTTTTTGTAAAGGATGTGAGGAGATATAGGAAGAGTTAAATTTCTATTATCTTCAAATTAAGCAAAAGGATGCATATTAAGAGAAAGACCCAGTTGGTGCTTTGGATGATGAAAAATTAGAGTCATATGCTTAGTAATGTAGCCAATACATGGACTAATTAATTTGATATGATGCCTCTCTTAAGTTTTATCGATTTTCTTTTTCTAGGCGCATACATATCAAATACATACATTGTGCAAATATATTGTTGTCGATATATATGGCGTAATTAAAATACTCAGCATCTTATTGTCTGAATACCTTCTTTCTCTCTCACTCTCTTTATATATATACATGTGTGTGTACTTATATACATTTCGAGATGTTAATTTTTTTTTTTTTTTTTTTTTTTTTGCCATTAATCATTTTAATTAATTGACAAGCATATTAGCAGTTTGTATATGTGTGTGAGTCCGTTAGCATGAATATGTACTTATAGTAGGATTACAAAAAAGGATATAAGGCTCGTTTAAAAGTATTTTTAAAATGACTGAAAGTGTTTTTTGAGAAAATGTTTTTGGGTTTTAAAGGCACTTGAATTGTTTTTTGACACCACTTATGTGCTTCTTGCTGAAAATACTTTAAGCGCTTTTTCAGAATTTACTTGTATATTTACTAAGAATTGGTTTCAAAAATATTTTCACCAAAAGTACTTTCAACCATTTTAATGTATTTCTAAACGAGCAATTACTTACTATATGCATTGTAAAAGGAGTGAATTTTTCAATGTCTTTTCATGGTAGATTGAACTGGCTCGTCATACATTGTTTTGCTATGTTCTTCCTCTATTTTGTTTAGCACTTGTTAAAAGGAAAATTTCAATCAAATCTATAATTCTTGTTCGATTTCTTTTGCTCACTCACTCAATGGAGTGTACATGCACTTCTGCACAAACAATTAAAGGATCTAATAACTCCATGTAATATGTAAGAAGAGCATGAAAGAATTGGGATCAGAAGAGCATCAAAAGCTATCATCCGGTTGTCTGACGAATGAATTCTTGATATTGGTCATATTACTGGGAAATATGCTTACATAAGCTTTTTAAAAATCTAGAAAAGTACAAAGCTAGCATGCTGTAAACAAGTTTTATTAGTGTCTGTAGTAGAAAAAGTTCTATTTTTTTATTGAAAAATTTGTAAAAATTTGTATCATATCTTGACATGGAGAGGTAATTAGTAAAGTATCAAGAACGAAACTAGGCAAATGTAATATGTGAAATATGTTGAGATTCCACCCTAAATCAAGAATAATGTTAGTTTTGATATATTTTATTGCTAATCAGCAATAAGAAAGTAATCAAACTTCTTAAAAGAACATGCAAGGACCATTAACTTTCCAATGTTGGACAACACTCCACATCTTTAAATGCCCCTTCATGTTTGACAAAATTATTGATCTTAGTAGTGAACAATTTTAACTACTGAGTACATGCAGACGTTAGGCTTCAAATGTGCACAAACATACTCTCAATCTCATAAAAGAGAAGTTTACAATTCACCTGAAAATCAACTGGCAATAAAAAAGGAATACTAATTGAACTTCTTATTATGAACACGTACAATGTCCCTTAACTTTCTCATGTGGGACAACACTCCACGACCTCACATTATATACTTGCCATGATATTCATACTCAATAGTCGAGCACATATCCTACATTTATGTTGAAACTCCCTACTTTGTTCTCCCATATCTACAGTCGTATACTATGTTTATATGCTATGTATTTTGATCGTTGCAAGCACTTTTAGACTTCGAGAGCTACTTATATGAAATGGATTCACCACCACATAGCTTTGTCACATGGTGTCTTAATTTACTAATTCAATGTCATGTGGATAGAGAAACTTATATGTAGCATTGTATTATTAGATCGAGATACTGTGGCAACAATAAATCCATTCCATGTAAATCATTCTCCTAAACTTCATCTCGTTGTACCTGATGTAAACTTTAAAATTAGGTAAAATCATAAGACCTAATCTATGAGCCAAGATCTTGAACTTCATGATTTTCACAAACGATTACTTTCAGAATACATAAATTACATACCTTGATAATTAGCTGTTAAATGTCATGTACAATCTCTACCTTGAACGATCTATAGATGAGCCATTATGGAGGAAATTATAGGTTTCTCTCTCTATCTTTACTTGCACGTTAAAACACTAATACATGTTTTTTATTAATGTACACATTAGATGGGTATGTGCAGTGTTATATGCAAATAGATGAAATGTTTTATAATGAAGCCCGTAATTAATTACCACCCATCACAGTAATAAAATAGGAAACCAATTCTCATAATTTGACTAATAAGATTGCTTCCAAAACAATATTCATTAACTGAGTATATCAAATATAAACCGTATCACGTGAGCCACATTAAAATATTACAATATATCTTTACTTGCACGTTAAAACACTAATACATGTTTTTCATTAGTGTACACATTAGATGGGTATGTGCAGTGTTCTATGCAAATAGATGAAATGTTTTATAATGAAGCCCGTAATTAATTACCACCCATCACAGTAATAAAATAGGAAACCAATTCTCATAATTTGACTAATAAGATTGCTTCCAAAACAATATTCATTAACTGAGTATATCAAACATAAACCGTATCACGTGAGCCACATTAAAATATTACAATATATCTTTACTTGCACGTTAAAACACTAATACATGTTTTTCATTAGTGTACACATTAGATGGGTATGTGCAGTGTTATATGCAAATAGATGAAATGTTTTATAATGAAGCCCGTAACTAAGTACCACCCATCACAGTAATAAAATAGGAAACCATTTCTCATAATTTGACTAATAAGATTGCTTCCAAAACAATATTCATTAACGGGAGCATTTTTGCTCACCACCATAAACTATGGTGTATGCTCACCATACACCTAATCAATTGACACGTGTCATTTCACTTAATCTTGGTTAATTTTTTTCAAAATTGAAAAACTAACATTTAATGTGAAAGTTAACTAGAGTTAAGTGAAATGACATGTGTCAATTGATTAGGTGTATGGTGAGCATACACCATAGTTTATGGTGGTGAGCAAAAATGCACTCATTCATTAACTGAGTATATCAAACATAAACCGTATCACGTGAGCCACATTAAAATATTACAATATTCTTACACCTAACACCAATAGAGAAAGTACACAGTTTATACAAATATACATGGGTAATGCTAGGGAGACTAAATTTGTAGACTAAATTTGCAAACTATATGATTTGTCATCAATAGGAATAAGTACGTTTGTCAACGCTTAAGTAAAACCCAATCATCAACTTCTATGTCATTTAGTTTACAAAATTTTGTCTACAAATTTAATCTCCCTAACATTACCCCTTATACATATAGCAAATAGTGATGTAATTCAAGAACCATCCCAATAGAACAAGAGCTTTGACTTTAAGTTATCAAAGCAAAGGGCATCCTATTATATGTTAGTGTTCAAATCAGAAGATAAGATCTGGTTGATAAACAAATATAATATATGGAAGAGTAAGAAGTAAAAACATGGGAAACTGTGTTGGGATTGAATTTGAATAGTTTTAATTTCGAAATAGATGGGGACTGATAAGAAAAGAAAGTAACTATTGTCATTATACAATAAACTGATAAGGCATTCATAGCTGCACCGACCAAAACCACATCAGGGACGGAAATCAGACCCAAAAACCTACAGTAGGATTAGGTATCTGTGTGTAGTTAGGGTATTGCTTATAGTGCTATTTAACACTCTCCGTTTGACTCCTAATAGTTCTTTGGAGGAACCAAATTTTAGAGAAATGAAGTCACCCGAATGATAACCCATTTGACAAGCAAACTATAGTATTTTGATGTAAGAGACTATAGTATTTTGATGTAAGAGCGTTTCCCAGAGAAATTTTAAATTTTAACAAACTTTGAATATTTTATTATTAACAATTTAAATCCAACCCACTCATTTTCTAGAACACCTTTCTCTTTCTTTCTTTTTTCCTTGCTCAAGGGTCCATTTATGTTTTTTTTTTAATATTTAGCAAGTGAATAATTGCTATCTAAATTTAAAGAGTCACTTTTCATTTTCCTTTCTTGAAAATAAACTTTTTGAATTTGGCTCTTTAAAATAAAGTTTTTGTTGTTTTACAGCATCTCAAAAGATGTTGTAATGTAATATGTGGATAGCTCACATGAATAGTTTGTTACTATTCATCCAAAGAAAAATCAAATGGGTTATCATTCATATGAAGAAAGTTTGTAAAGTAAATAGTGTTGCTACAATAATCTTTTGCCTATAAAATGAGAGCATACGGAGGAAGAAATAGAAAGAGAAAGAAAAGAAGAGAGGAGAAGAAGAAGAGAAAGAAGAGAGATACAAAATAAAATACCAGTGA